TGCTGCTTTCCCTCTGAACTGCATGTAGGAAAACATTCTAGCCAGCCTATTCTGAAAGGATGTCCTTTTTAAAAAGCACAGCTGAAAGACCTGGCCACAGACTTTGTTACTTCCCCCCACCATTGCTGACGCTGCCACCAGGGACCAGGGCCCCTGCAGTCCCTCCCCAGGCCACAGCCAGCAGAGAGGGCCTGCATACTGGTGGTGGGGAATGCGGCTTTCCTGGACTTTGAGCCAACCCAGAGGAAAAGGAGGCATTCACATCACTGTCCCTGCATTCACACTAACCTGGGCTGCAGAGCTGATAAGGCCCCCCTCTAGCACCCCTCAGGCTTAGGGAAACTGCAGGCCCCTTTCCAGGCCACCTCTAAGGAACACTGCTGGCAAGTTTCACCAAGGAAAAAGTTGCCAAGGCAAAAGCTGACAGACACCAAAGGGACAGTGCCCCAGCTCTGCATCCCTTTGGGGATGGCTGGGTTAAAACCTCCAGTAGGAGGTTCAAACTATGGTGATGGAGAGGAAGCAGTGAAAGGCCACACTCCCAGGCAGTGGTTGGTGGGGAAAGGAAAACATGGTTTCGCAGTCAGTGCTGCCAGGGATGTGTGACTCGGAGCAAGTCACCACCAAGACCCTGGGCTATTTCCCATAAAACTAGGAGGTTAGACTGACCAACTGTTCAGTCATATTCCCAATTCCTAAGCACTCTTAGCAAGCCAGGGTACTGGAGTTGCTACTGTTTGCCTGCCTGGTTCCCCCATTAGCCTGAAAGTGTCCCCCAAAATCCAGAGAGCATCCTACCTACCTCAGAATCCTTGCCAGCATGGCTGCTGCTAGGAGCTCAGCAGGCCAACCAGTAATAGCTGAAGGTTTGTCAAGTGAAGACATGCCCACGCCTGCCACAAGGAACTGGTCTGTGAGGACAGATGGCCCTCCTCTCCTTTCCCAGCAGATCCACGGTCCAGATGCTCCAGGGGGCATGGGGAGGGGGCCACAGGGAGAGCTCAGGTACTCCGCACAGCAGGGTTCTGACCTCTGCCACAGCGGAGCTTAGTGAAGGTCAAGCGGCCTGATCGTCCCAGTACCAGCAGCTCCCCCATCCCAGGTGCCTCCTGGCATCCTCAGAGAAGTGGCCAGTGTGCAGACAGTATCTACTACAGCTTCCCAGTGTCCCCTCCCCAGCAAGGCCTGTGGGCAAGGTCCTCTGGGGATCCTTCCTCCAAGTCAGCTTGCTCAGGAAGGGTTTTTCTCTAGAAAAGCACAGGTGAGGTGGGGAGGCTCGGTGTGGCAAGGCCTATCTCTGGAAAATACTAGTAGGCTGGCAGGAAAGGGCAAAGCTGCAGTGTCCACATAACGTGAATCTTCTGAAGGGCCACTGTCTTGCCAGTACCCAGCAAAGACTCAGCCCAAAGAGGATGAATAAATGAGGGAATGAACCAGTGTGGCGCTCAGCTGGGAGGCCAGCAAGGGGTCCCCACGTGAGCACAGCTGGGGAATGAGAACATTCTATCCTGCCTCAGTGGAGTTCTCAGACCCCTAGGAGTGTCCGATAGAGATGGGGAACCAGGCTCTGCCGGGATGAAGTAGCCTCACAACTTCTGTTTGCATATTCAGACCCTGGGTTCAAATTTTGTCTTCCTCCTCTTTCCCCTGTAAAGAGGAAAACTATGTGTGTCACGAATGCTGGTGGATTTCCAGGAAATCTCATCAGATTGAGAAGGGTCCAGCACCAGGTAGGCAGGTAGGAGGCAAACATTAAACCTTGGCTCCTTCCACTCTTTTGGGTCCAAACTGGACCACGATACGGAGAAAGTCATCACAGGCAGCCAGGCATGCTGACCCCTGCACCATCTGCAGTCTCAGGCACTTCCAGGAGCATCTCATGTGATGTTGTTTCCCACTGAGTACTTATTTAATGAGGGCCAGAGTGGGCTGAGGTTCCTAATACTTTGGGAGACGTCTGGCGTAGTTGCATAAGCCAAGCCCTCTGGTCAGTCCCTTCTTCAAAAACCAGGAATCCAGTGTTGCAAGCACTGCTCTGGGGGCCCTGGCCTGATATGTGAAAGGAGCCTGCAGAACAGGAAAGAAAGCCAGTGTGGACATCACCGCTGTTGCATGTGACCGCACCACACAGTGCTGGCATGGTTTCCTGGCCTGTGTCACCCACCTCTAGGAAATAAGAGCCAGCTATGAAGTAGCTTCCCGTAAAGGTGACCTGTGGCATGAATGCCACTGGACCCTCATGAAGGAAAGTTTATAGGCAGAATCTCTTAGCAGAAAGAATGCGGACTTACAGACCCACAACACTGCAGGTTTAGGCAGTCTCATCCCCATTTTACAGACGGAGAAGCTTGAGATTCAGAAGTCGTGGGACTTGCCCAAGGTCACACAGATAGACCCTAGCCCTGAAATCAGAGCCGGGGGCTTTCCGTCTGCCATACTGCCCCTATTATCGGGAATCTTTGAGTAATAAACTTCCCCCCTATTTTATCAGTTTGGTAAATCTGGACTTTAGAACCATTCTTAAACAGGGAATTTTTTTGTTTAATTTTTTCATTAGTCTTTTAAAATTAAATGTATTAAGGTAACATTAATAACATAAATTTCAGGTGTACAACTATATAACACATCTCTACACTCTTATTATGTGCTCACCACCCAAGGCCTAATCTCCTTCTATCACCTTGTATTTGACCTCCACTTAACCTTCTTCATCCTCCCCAAAACCCATTCCCCTCTGGTAACCTCCTGTTGCCTGTATCTATGAGTTTGTTTGTTTGTTTGTTTGTTAAACAGGGATATTCTTAAACAGGGGTATGTATAACAAACACTGATTCAGCCCCATTGAGGCCTCTTCACTAAGCCACAGAATTTAGAGCCACAAGAACCCACAGAGATCCACTCCGGCCTCCCTGTTCAGGTGAGGAGGCTGAGGCCTCCAGAGTGAAGTGATTCATCTAAACTAGTTCTTGGGGTCTAATTTCCCATCCTCACAACCACCCGGGTCCAGGCAGGGTGGACCTGAATTCACATGCCAATGAAGAAGACAGGGAGCTGGTTCCCACTTATACTGCAAATACCCTTTGGAAGGGTTTCTGGCTTGATCATCCAATAAACGCTCAGGAGAGAATAAACCAGCTCAGAGACCTAAACAGCTGGATGCTCTGAAGTGTCATGATGCCACACCTTGGTCAAAACGAGCGACTCTGGAAGTCAGGGTAGCAAGAGGGCGAAGTGCCATTTCCAGAGAACAAACAGCAAACGGTTCCACTGTATCCAGTCTGCAAACCAGGAGGACTTCAAACTGACATGGGGACAATCTGAGAGAGGCCAACAACAGAGAATGTTCTCTCATCCCAACAGCATAGCAGTCCAACCGGGCACATGCTGTGGACAATGACCCCTCCTGCGGGAACCAAGCCTCACAGACCCCCTATTGTGTTGGTGTAAAAACTGAACTTTGCTGGGCAAACACACTGGGCTGTGTTCAAGAAACAAGTTTCTCTCGCCACTTGGAAAACAGCAGCATGCCTGCAGAAGGGACAGTTGTGGGGGGTGTTGTTGGGTGCTTGTTTTTTTTTTATTTTTAAGCAAAGCCCTGGTCAGTAGTGCTATAGCAACTGTAACAAAAATAATAATAGTCAGCACTGACTGGATGCCGCCAATGTCCCAGTTTGACAGCTTAAGAAAATCAAACTGAAGGACAGAAGTCACCCCAGAGCATTTTAGATCACACAGGGAATCAGGTTTGTGGTGTGCACAGAGGATTGGGTCTTTTAGTAATAATTACCACAAATCACCAGCTGGCCCCATGACAGCTGGCAGAGGCAATTAGCAATAAGGAGGCGGGGGTAGGGGGTAAGATGCGAACTTAAGGTTCTAATAAAACAAAACATCGCCAGATGTGCAGAGGGCCAGATGTGGCAATGCAAGGTGGAGCCCCTTCTTCAAGCCCAAGTTACCTATTAACTGGTCTCAGGGCTTCCACAGCCTTTGCAGCCTCTGGACAAAAGCAAGTTGGGAATGCACTGGTTTCCCTCTATTGTGTATGGGGGAGGGGGAGACTCCCCCTTCTGGGAACCCAGCAACCCTTTTGGCTGCTTCTTCCAAATCCTTTTAATACTGCACTTCCCAGCTACGATTTGAGAGAGGAGGACGGGTATATCTTATTTCTTCTTTACACTGGAGGCTGTCTCCATCAGAAGCCCTTCAATCGTGTCATCTTCTCACCAAAGGCTCGTCCCCCGGCATAATCCTTCCTAAGCTAAAATCCAGTGTGTGGAGGGGAGTGGGGAGAGTCGGTTTGAGCAGTGAAACGCTGTGGCAGTGCGAAAGGAAAGCATCAAATGCCTGAAGAGTAAAAATGCAGTTTCAGCAACACTTTTTGAAAAGCGGCAGACAAGAAGAACCTGAAGGGGAGGAAAGGAAGGGAAAAGACAGTCTGGGGCGT